CAGCCAGTTCTCCCAGTAGATTCTGGAGAGGGCCCACGTTGTCCCTAGTCTGTCTTTTATGTGCTATATACGTATAGAAGCCTTTCCTCTCATCTTTCTTGCCAGATTTAATTCTAACTGTGAATGCACGCAAACCCTGTGATCCTGGTCTGCAACTACGGGTGGCCCCTTGAATGCTTGCAGGAGGTGCCTTCCTTTGGTACTAGACCCAGTAGGGATCCCCACATTCCCTGCCAGTGTGAAGCACCCTGTGGTGCAGGAGAGTGTCACAAATCTGCGCCTGGCACAGCGCTTGTACCTATCTTCAGTCGGAATTTCTGACCCATATGCATGTCATGCCTCCGGTACTTCTGGATCTGCCAGCTACAGTGCACCACAAGGCTGATGGTCTGGGCCATCTCACTGGGTCTTGTTCTCCACAGCAGCAGCACAGCATCCCCTGGTGAAAGCAAGGGTCAGGTCAAGGCTCTGCTGAGACCTGACTGTCCCTGACCTATGCTCCATGGCAGGGACAGCAGAAACCAGCCCATGTGCTGAAAAAGATGGACTTGTGGGAGGGCATAGGCCTGGCTGACCTCTGGACGACCTGGGACTCCTCTTCCTCTCGCAGCCTGGCAGCCTGAGTTGTGCTGTCACCAGGGCCCCCCTTGTCCCTCACCACCACCGCAACACACACCTTTGGCTTCACCTTCTAGTAGGTATCCTCTTCTTAGTGCTGCTTCTGCCCTTACCCCAGCACAGAGCTCTACAAGCTGAGGCAGAGGGAAGTGAGCCATCACCCTTGCCAAAGCCAAACTGCAGGCCCAGGGTGGGAAGAGAGCCCTCAGACAGGGCACTGCAAAGTGAGGTGAGTGTGGCCATGAAGATGGCTCAAAGTGCTGCACAGAGCCTCTGGTGGAGGACAGCAGAGCAAATGGCTGCTACAATAGTCCCACGCTGCAGATTCATACCCATGGGTATCATCATCCTAAGTACATACCAGCAAACTTCAAGATGTCACCTCCAAGAGTCAGCACGTCTGTGGACAGATGGAAGGAAAGGAAGAGTCATGTGGACACCTTCTTCCATAAACCACAGAGGAAGCCCTTGTACTCAGAGCAGAGCAGCCAGGCAATGGTGCACTATGCAGCACAGCTCAGGAGAGCACCACCCTGGCCTGTTTCCCAGGCTCCCAGTGGCTGCAGCCCTGGTACCAGCACAGAAGGCACAGAGGCAGGGGCTCGAGCTCCCACCTAATTTCAGAATGGTGGAGGCTGGAAGGCACCTCTGGGGTCCATCTGGTCCAACCCTGCTCTCAAGCAGGGCTGTGCAGAGCCAGCTGCCCAGGACACTGGCTAGATGGCTTTAGAAGAGCCAAAGGAGGGAGATTTCACAAGCTCCCTGGGCAACCAGTCAGTCACCTCTCACAGTCAAAAAGTGAGAGGTGACTGTCAACTTACAGAGGAAAACTCACGTGTTTCAATGTGTGCCCATGGCATGGCCTCTGGTCCTGACACTGGGCACCACTGGAAAGAGCCTGGCTCTGTCCAATTTGCTTCTTTCTTGAAGTTTTAGGCACACTACTATAAGATCCCCCTGAAGCCTTTTCTTCCCTAGGCTAAACAGGCTCATCTCTCCCAGCCTTTCCTCATAGGAGAGATGCTCTAGACCCTTCATCCTCTTTGAGGACTCTCTTGCTTTTCTTTACAAATGCTGCAAACGGTGGTGTCCAGAATGTGCTCATGGTCAGCTTGGAAGGGTCAAGACATCTCCTGTGAAAATGGGCTTGGGAGGGTCTCTGTCTCTCTCTCTCTTGCTCTTTCACACGCACACATCCACACACATGTCAGTGCCACCATCCCCAGGTCACTTGTTGGTGCTCTGAGCCTGCTCTGGGCCCTCAGGTGCCACGGAGCTGCATGTTCACACCAGAAGCACAGAGGTGGCTGCTGAGAAAGCAGGTGCCTCCTTGGCCACAGTGGGGAGCAGAAAGGACCTGCACTGGTCCTGCCTCTCCAGGAGAGCCTGGCTGCTCTCACTGTTCCTCCCGGCCACAGAAAGCCCCAGCCCTTCCAAGGAGGCAGGACTAGGCTGCCCAGGATACCAGCCTCCCCCCTCCATAAGCAGCCCTATGGCCTGCTGCCAGGCAGTCCTGCAACATGGCTCTTACCCTCCAAAATGTCACACAGGTAGTGATTGAGGGCTTCCACCAGCTCATCAGTACCTCTCTCTGAACCACTCTTCCAGATACAGTTCTCCACCAAAGAAGTGAAATCTGTAACAGAGACACCTAGAAATCAGGCAATGCCCTGGGTCCCAGAGGACCTGGCAGCCAGTTCCACGTTGCCCAGCCCGGGGCCTGCAGGTCACACCTCCCCACGCCCCAACTCAGTATGGGTTGCAGCAGTGGTTGACCACCCGTGATAGCCCATCCTTTTTGGGAATCCCAGCAGAAGACCTCAGTGCTCACTATGGCCACTCGCTATCAGGGGCAGGGGCAGGGCTCCAAAGGGTGTGGTGGGTCCCAGGATGGCTCACGTCCATGGCTGCTCCTCCCGATCACCCCACCTGAAATATCCGCAAAGAGCAGCACTCCGTAGACTGCCTGAAACCTGGTCCCGAGGTATTCGCTAGAAATGAGGCTGGGGAGTAAAGCTGCTGCTTTGTCCAGCTCTGAGTTGTAGCGTTTCCTGTCCCAGGCAGAGGGCATCACCTGCGCCCTGTGGTGTCTGCGGTACAGCAGGACCACCCGCTGTGCCCAGCTGGGAGCAGAAATGTGATCCCATTGCGCCATGTGGGCTGCACAGTGAGCCCAGGGCCTGCCTGTGGGGCAGCGGTCCCGCTGCCCGCGGGGTGGCCACCGTCACTGGCAGTGGCCCGCGCAGTAGGTCATCACTTCCCTGTCAGCTCTCTGCATGCATCACAGTGGGCTGGCGGTGACACTGCGCGGGGGTCATCACCTTCCGAACCGCTTGCCCCACGGCCGAGGCTTCCTCCTTGGCACTGGGCCGTGGCTGGAGGTGGCCAGCACCACCCCGTCGGCTGGGGACTGTGCCCAAGGGAGGCTTGTGCAGACCTCCTGCAGAGCCTTGCACACATAGCTGCTGGCGAGCACTGTTCCTTCCCCAACAGCAGAACAGTTCATCACCATTTTCCCAGCAGTCTTGCCTCCTTGTTGCTCCTGTGCTCCCTTGCTGCTGCAGTAAAGGGAAGCGACCGTGCTCTCTGTTCTAGGGACAGGAGGGGTAGAGGGACTGGGGACCCTTGCTGCGCCATCTCCTGCAGAGCCTTGCACACATAGCTGCTGGCGAGCACTGTTCCTTCCCCAACAGCAGAACAGTTCATCACCATTTTCCCAGCAGTCTTGCCTCCTTGTTGCTCCTGTGCTCCCTTGCTGCTGCAGTAAAGGGAAGCGACCGTGCTCTCTGTTCTAGGGACAGGAGGGGTAGAGGGACTGGGGACCCTTGCTGCGCCATATCCGAAGAGCACCAGGCAGCACACAATCGGCCACCCAGGAGTCCAGCACAGACTCCAAACCTGTGGGCATGTTATATGGCAATGAAGAAGTTAAGATTTTGTAAAGGACTGTGTGTGTGAAAGCTTTGGAATGTTGAGTTTACACTTGCAGGTAGCAAGGAAAAACATTTCCTTACAAGCTCACAGGCCCTGAGCAGACATAAAACACTGAAACACGAACCATCTGGAAAATAACAAGGGGGGAGAATATAAAGCAGGAGGGAAAAACCACAAATAAACCCAACTGCTGCACAATACAACCGCTCACCACCCGCCGACCGATACCCAGCCCGACCCGAGCAGCGATCTGGGCCTTCCGGGTAACTCCCCCCAGTTTCTATCCTGGGCATGACGTGCTGTGGTATGGAATACCCCTTTGGCCAGTTTGGGTCAGGTGTCCTGTCTCTGCTTCCTCCCAGCTTCTTGTGCTTCTCCTCACTGGCAGAGCATGAGAGACTGAACAGCCCTTGATCAGGGTAAGTGCTACTGACCAACAACTAAAACATCAGTGTGTTACCAGCATCGTTCTCAGAATAACTCCGTAACACAGCACTGCACCAGCTACTAGGAAGAAAATTAACTTTGACCCAGCCAAAACCAGGACACATCCTTAACACGATTGTGAGCAGAAAAGATTTCTGACCCACACAGCTCTTCCAGCATGTTCCACAGATGCATAATTTCAAAAGGCATACTACTTTTCTGCCCCTCTCATACGCTAGCTACTTAACGCAAGAAAAACCACAGCCACTCCATCTTTTGAAAATCAAAACACAAGGTTTCTGTCTCCCTCTTCCTTTTTTCTGTTAAAAAGAGCTGAGAACTTAATGGACAGTTTTGTCCTTACATTTTCAGGACACCGTTAACAAAGTCTTTTGAAAGGGATTAGGCACCCAACACACAAACACACAAACCCAGAGGAAGCTGTAAGTTCCCATGTTCAGTGGCTTCTGAAAATTGCCAAGGGAAAAGGGGGAAGCCAAAAACCAAACAATGCAGATACACAGACCTGACAGAGCAAACATGGAGACAATGGCACAAAACGAACCTCACCAATGACACTGACTGATGGGGTCTCAAGAAACCACAGGCTCCCCTTCTAGGAAGATCCACCTGGATTTTGCAACCTTCAATACTGTAAACCGAGTTCTTGGTTTCCATAATAGGTTTTGTTTTACTTGATTTTTTTTTTCTTCTTTTTTTTCCTGCAGAAAGCTAAAGGAATATGTACCTCTCCCTAGGTGTCTTTTTCAGCTTTGAATGACAGGAAATGTCTTTTGAACTAAATTCGCACAACAGTTCTGTATTAGAGAGACAATACAAACTAGGCTTCTTGCCTTTTAAAAAGGCTGAACTACTCATTAGTTTTCTTGGAAAACGACATTTTCAAAGGTCTGGAGTGATCAACGAAGTAAGAAGAACTGAAAAGAAAAATAATCAAGGATCTAGTAGGGCGATGGAAAAAAAAAAGAGGTAAAGCTCTGTCTTTGAGAGCCGCTTTTACCCCCAGCCCAAGCCCTGGGGTGGAACTGCAGCCTCCTGCAAGGCTAGGAGCAGCTTTTCCCTCAGGAATCCCCACCCCAATCTCAGCGCCACAGTGCTCCCACAAGCTGCTTTTGGGTTGGGGATCACCCCAACCCAGGGGCAGGACCTAGCACTTGGCCTTGCACAGTCCATCTGCTGCTCTCAGTCTGTTATCCTTCCATCTCCTATTGCCCCTTTTTTGAACAGAAACCTGACTTTCTCTTGGTTTCCATTTTGCCTGCAGTGACTGAGCTGCTCAGCTTGGCGAGCTCCAGCGACACGCCAGGAGGAAGGACCCACCTCAAGCTGTGTTTGCTTTGCTTGTTTTTCTTCTGGAAACATCCCAGTCTGGGTTAAAATCTAAACTTTCTGAGTGGGGAGATGGAGCTAAGGATCACCCTCAGCCTTCCTGCGACTTTACAAAAAGCTTTCAATGCAACTGTGTGCTTTAACACCGACCTGCTGAAATACCTGCAAATCCACCAAAATAGAAACAGAGGAGCTTGGTTTAAGGGTGCTGATGGAATTTTCAAGAGGAATTAAAAATCCCCATGTGTTTTCTAATGGGTGTTTGATATGATTGAAGACATGAACTCCCAGATAAAGATCCATCTCCCAGAGTGGAGGTGGAGAACCTCCACTCCTCAGTGAGGGATGAGGGTTAACTACACAAGGATGCCTCCCACCTTGGAGCTGATCAGCGAGAGCACAGCAGTCATGTTTTAGTTTTATATTCTCTCCCCTTCTTATCTCCCTTATCATCAGTAGTAGTAGTAGTAGTATTCCATTGTACTTTTAATTATTAAACTGTTCTCATCTCAACCTGCAGGTTTCGCATCATTCCCATTCTCCTCCCTTCCCACCTGGGGTGCAAAATGGGGGTGAGCAAGTGGCCCCCATGGTCCTTAGCTGCCGCCAGGGTTGAAACCATGCCACATCTCCAGTGCAGACTTCCCTCCTGCCTCCCAAGGCAACAATGTTGGCTCTGTGACACAGGCTCAAAATGCCAAAATTAATATTTATAGGGCAAAAGAAGGCAAATCCCATTGGTTGCAGGTGCTGTCCCTATGTTAACAGCTTTTTTTTCCTCCCCATAAAATCCATCCTTAAGGTGCCACCAGTTCATTTCTCCAGTTAATTCCTGAATCCTCATGAAAAATAATGTAGTAAAGCTGGGATAACCCCAGGACAGGAAGAACAGGTTTGCCTGTGCTTCATGTTCCCTGCATTCAGGGTCTCTCCTGCTGCAGGCCTGATGCTGTCAGGCACAGGCAGGGGTAGGCAGGCCCAAGTGCCATCATTAGGCACATTTCATAGGATTGACCAAGGAGAGTCAGTCCTGTGTGAGAGGCCACGCTGCGACTCTGTTGAGAGAGACAGAGTGGCTGGATTGGAATCACTGACACATGCCCTATGTACCTGGCAGGGACCTCATTGGGGTTGGTTTTCGGGCATTTCTCTCTCCAACCGCAGCCAACACCAAACAATGCCGCTCATCTTCTCTGCTGGGACCCCAGCAATATCGAGCTGATCCAGTGCCGGAAGAACATCAGGACTCAGAGCTGTTTAATGAAAGTGGGGAGAAGGAATGAACCTCAAGCAGTGGCCTTACGCAAGAAATAACTAACATTGCAGTGAAGCCTCACACCATTTCCTGTTTTGCTCAGTCCCAGCGCAACTAAATCAATCCACAGCCTCCTGGAAACCTGGGAGCAGCATTTCCCTCAGGAACACCCATCACCTCAACCCCTCTCTCATCCCAGGACAGCCTTTCTCTTCTTCCACCTTCTTTCTGCACCTCAGCCCTCAGGCTGCCACTCACACCATTCCAAGGGTTAGCAAAATCATCTCACCTTCAACTTCTCCTTTTTATGTCTTGCCTAGGAGGCTCATTGTCCCCATGTTGCCCTCAAGTTTTGCTCTGGCTGGAAACGAGACCACCCGTAACTGGCCATAAAGGTGTCAGCGAGTATGGACCAGCACTCCTCGGGCAACGAGACCGGCCTTCCTTTGGAGAGGCAGCTCCCTCTATACCCCGGAGCATGGGCCTGCTGTGAGCACAGCTGGTGGTGACACACCACCTGCACTGAATACACACCACGTGACAACTACACATAGAGACAATGTGTTGGATGGGTTCAAGCATGAACCATGGGTGTTTCCCAGAGGCTGCCACTGAAATTCCTGGACCACACCAAAAAAACCCGACATCTCTTTCCTCCTTCACAGTCTCCTAAATCGGTTGTGTTTGAAGGGCCATTCCTTCTCCCACCTTGGAATGCTGTTAACATCACTGAGGGAGCCAAAATGGACCCAGAGGGACATGTGCCGACACTCATTCTGCCTGCAGCTACTCAAGGTTAACAGCTGCCAGCACTTCCCTTTGGCTTATTATTAAATTAATTAATTTCATGTTAATTTGGCATTGGCTTTAATAGGTTGATCACCAGCCCTTCAATAGTCTGGGGCTTCCATCCTGTTCACATTTCGCATGCCACTGCAATTCAGAGGCAAGAGCACATGTGCTCAAGCACAAGAGATTATTAAACAGAATACTGCTTAATGTTGCTTTCACGTGAAAAGGGGCTTTACACAAATTACTCTGAACATGTAGTTGATAGTGATAAATCTCTACTACTACAATTTATAGCGAACCAGGTGAGTACTGAATATTGGCTCAGCGAAGGGAAGGCTAATAATAGTGCAAAACAGTTGATGTGAAAGTAGGTCTAGTTACTGTTACCTGGTACTACT